TCAATAATGACCTAGTTGTAAAGCAAACATTGAGGGGAAAAAGAAGCAGAAGAGGCCTGTTCTAAAGTTTCCACTCTCTATTGTTCTATAATGGGCTAATGCTGTCTCTTTTGAATTTTCCTACCTTTAATCCAACACTTGTTTTTTTTTCAAAGTATCTCCTTTTTTTTTTTTTAAAACCCACTTTCTTTTTTAAACAAATTTAAAAAAATATATTGTATAACAATTATTCTACCTTGCTATCCACTTTCATCTTTACATCTTTTCCAGGAAAATGACCAAAGCTTGCATTTACGATCTATAGTGCTGTGTTCACCTTTAAGTTACATACGTATGTTTGGTAAATAGGCACGACATAATTACAAGTTAGAATCTGAGGATGTGAAATGTAATTTTTATATATATCTTAAACAATCTGTGTGTAAAAAAGTAGGAGCAATGCTACATACAACAACTCTCTTGCGCTGTGACGAGCCAGGATAAATTTTTGTTCGAAGGCTTCTAAAATAAAGTACTCCATTTATTGTTTATCTTATGGAAATAATCTCTGTACAAAAAGTAGAGGCAAGGCTGCATATAATACCCTCTTCAGCAGTACTGAAGGTAGGATTTTTGTTTAAAGATGGCTAAAATAAAGTACTTGATTCATTATTTAACAGCCCATGGTAAGGAAACAATCGTACCAAATAGACATCAAATGATCCTTTATTTCGATACAAATGAGAGATAAATATCGTTGTTGGTGTTGGATTTTTAAAAAATATATATTTTCATTACTATGTTGCGATTCAAAATTTTATCATTTGCATACAAATGCAATTTATTTTGTATTTATCCTCATTCCCATTTTCATATCTTGCATGTTATTCCATTTTCATTTTCATTTATTCATTTGTTTACTCATGAGTATTTCTAAACCTTTTTTTTAATATTGAGGACTAATACTGTTTTAAAGTTCATTATTATCTCTCTATATATTTAATATCCATAACTAAAGGTCAAATTGAATTTTATGAAATTTTTATTTCCCTCAAATTTTAAATATTACTAATGCAGATTGAAAAATTCAATAATGTAAAATATTTCGTGTACTGGATCGCCATATATTTATCTAAACTATATATAAAAGTAAGAATTATGGGAAATAATGGGATTACCTATAATAATTTTAGTGAAATTTTAGAAAACCTAAAATATCCTTTTGGATAATTGATACTAACTTGAATTTATTAAATAACATGAGTTTTTAATAATTGATAAATTATGATATTAAATTATTAATCAATTGACTTTTTTTAATAAATTTTATTAATTGATTTAAAAAGTTTACATTCGATTATTCCTCAATTTCACAATGAATTAATTACTAAATCAATCAAAAATCATATTTATTTTTAATGGTATCCAATAAGTATTTGTTTAAACTTTAATTTCTATAATACATATAATTATTTATTTTATTATAATACCGAAGTGTGTCCTTAACTTTTTCTTTTAATATTTGTAGTAAACTAAATTGTTATATAACAAAACAATGCAAATATTTCAAATATATAAGGAAAAACCATGAAAAAATAATTTAAAATTTTTTAATATCAAAATAATTTTATTTTCTCAAAGATATAATATGGTTGGATATTTAATAATGACACATGATATTTTCTTTTAAAATAAAAGTAGTATGAACAGATTATTATTTAATAAATATATATGATAATGATACATTTGAAAATTTTTATATTTTATTTTATATTCTGCTCTATCTAAAATAAAAAGTTAGCATAATGAACAGTTATGTCATTATTATTTTTAATATAATTAAAAAATATATATGAATAATGATAACATTTGAAAAAATTTTTTATTATTAATTTTATTTATTAAAATATTATTTTTTATATTAAAATAAAAAATAGAAAATTTCTCCAAAATGGTATTGTAGATCATATCATAATAATATAATATTAACTGGTATCACCTTAGATGTGTGTAAAAAACGAACAATTAAAATGTTTTAATTTAAAAAATTATAAAATTAATATCTATTAACTTATATTTATGTGTTCATTTATATTTGAAACATTATTTATTAGGTGATATTTATTATAATTATTTTAGATAAATGATGATTATAAATTAAGCTGAAATGACGTGTATATAATAACTATTGTTTTATTAATTAATTCATTATATTTCACATTAATCTTATATTAATCTTATATGAAATTTTATTTTAACATTATAAAAATCTAAATAATATAAGATAAAAATTATAATTAATATTTAATATTAAAAAAGAAAAATGAGTATAGATAATAAATAAAAAATTAAACTAATATGAATAATGAATACAGTCAACGTGCAATGTACGTCATAAAAAGACCAGTGTATATATATATATAGACGACACACGTTTAACATTTGGTTACACTACACTATTGTCGTAATATAATATCAAGATGAGTTTAACTCATTATGAGGAATTCGCAAGGACCAGCGGGAATTGAAGGTATATTTGTTAGGCATCAGCTCTGATACCAGTTGGCGGTACAAGATGGTTGGCAGATCTAATAGATTATCACTGAAAAGAAATATTGGACTGCAGTGAAATGGATTTTCAGGATATTTAATCACATTTGCAAGGGGAGCCGTGTCGTGGCAGTCAAGATTACTGAAGCGTGCAAAGAGTTGTTGTGTAACAACAGAACCAAGACCTGAAAAAGATCTGCAGGTGGTGCCTTGTGTAGTGGTGCCTTGTGTCGAAAGTCTTCCCGACAAAAGGAGGTCGGGCGCGCGGTGTCCGCAAAATTGTAGCGGCGGTACAAGATTATGGCAGATCTAAATAGATTATAGCTGCAGGGGAGATGATAGCTAAAGTCTCCACTTGAGTGTGCAGGGGGAGATTTGTTGTGGTGGTGCCCACTCAAGTGGAACCCACACACAAATGAAAAGAAAAAAAAAAACGTGCTGTTTGAAAAAGCAAAAGGTTGGCAACCAACCTAAATGAAGAGCCGTGTGTAACTCACACACGACTCTCACTTTTCCTCTCCTATTTATAGGAGAGGATTTTCCTCAATTGAAACACACACCAGAAAGAAAGAGAAAAAGTAGCAAGAGAGAGTGTTATAGTTTTAGGATGGGTTTCCTAAAACTAGGGGAGAGAAAAATAGTGAGAAAATTATTATGTGGTGTTTTTGGGAAACACTTTGTGTGCCACTATTTTTGTATTGCTCTCTTTGTTTACCTACTATTTTTAATAGTGGAAGAATGATTTGGAGTTTGTCCCGTGGATGTAGCCCTAAACAGTTGAGGGTGAACCACGTAAATTATTCGGGAGTTTGGTCCGTGGACGTAGCCCTAAACAGTTGAGGGTGAACCACGTAAATCTTTGTGCTGTTGTCTATCCATTTTAATTTTCCCTGTTGTTTATTATTCTCGTAATTTTATTGCCGGTATCCTAACAATATTTGAGGATCGGAAGAGTTTGTTTTTATGTGTTTTTTTATGAATCCATTGTTCAGAAGAGTTAAATGTTGGCTGAGGTTATTCCTTTTATTAAAAACTGTTTGAGATTTTATTGCTTGTTTCAGAGTTTGCTTAAAATTTCCAATTTATGAGGGTGAACCACGTAAATCTTTGTGTGTCCCATTTTAATTTTTCCGCTGTGTTATTATTCTCGTAATTTTATTGCCGGTATCCTAACAATATTGAGGAATTCGGAAGAGTTTGTTTTATGTGTTTTTTATGAATCCATTGGTTCAGAAGAGTTAAATGTGGCTGAGTTATTCACTTTATTAAAAACTGTTGAGATTTATGCTTGTTCAGAGTTTGCTAAAATTCCAATTATATTTGAGATGGATTCTAGAGTTGTCTTGAGCTTGGTTTCTCAACATGAACATTGCCCTTGGAGATAGTGGTACAATTTCATTACTCTTGACTGTCTTCTTGGTTCTTTGTCTTCATTACAATTCAAACATTTTAATAAAGAAAGAAATAGTTGTGCAAATAATCTAGCTAAAAAAGGAGTAATTTCTGTAGAACTTTTTTTGGCATGGTTATAATTTTGTTTTGGTTAGGTGGCTTTGATCAGAGGACAGAGCAAACGTTCTTCAGTTTCGATATATGAGGATTGTGTCATAGTTTTTGATTTTCATGGGTACTTTGATTTGATCCAATTTTGATTTTAATTTCATTTTTTCTTATCTCAAGAGAAATTTGTATTTTATTTTTGAGATTCTCCAGGTTTTTTCACTTAGCATTTTCAGGTAGGATTTGGTGTATTTAGGATGTGTATTGCCTCGGGTACAGTTCCTTGATTTTGCTAAATTTTTTCTGGACATGTTTAATTGATAAAATAAAATTATATTTGCTGATTAAAAAAAAAATAAGGAAGTTTGATTGAAAGATAATCAGACTCAATATGAAGAAAAAAAAATTTGGCTAATATTATTTACACATAACACTTTGCTATAAATAGAATACCATATTTGGGCCTCTCTCCTCCATTCGAGAGAAATGAAATATCCAATACATGCCGAGTAGCAGACTCGTTCTGGGCTTCAGTATCAGATTTATTTTAGATTTGTCCAAACCAAAATCTTGGGCTCCAAAGTGTTTATTTTCTATTTTATTTTATCTTCTTTTTGAATGAGAGGAGTACTCTAATATGGGTGGCAACTAAGCAAACATATTTGAGAAAAAAAATTATTCATATATGAAACATAAAGAAAATTAAAATCCATAATTTTGGTCAAAATTACTATTATATTTCTATTATTTGAAAAAACTATTGATTATCTTTAAAATTTGAACCTGTTAAATTATTTAATTCTTCCATTCAAAACGATTATTTTTGCCATTAAAAATCCTTAATATTTTATTATTTAGTTCCTGATTAAGGAAAAAAATACTGATTTTTGAATGGAATGAATAAATATTTTAACAAGGAAAAAATATATATATATATATATATCTAACCATGCCTATCTTACAATATCAACTACTTAATAAGACGATTTCATATATAAAAGAATGCAAATAATAAAAATCAAAATGCAAGACAAAAACCTGCAAATTATTTGAACTTAGTTTGACAACGTTGAGAAAGAACATTACGTCCTGAAGCTCCCAAAGAACTCACCTTAAAATTACAAACAACATTAATTACCTTCTTCGAAGACTTCATCTTAACTGGTACATTCATTTTTAGCACCAAAGCGACATGTCGTTTTCCCTTTCTGTCTCCAATACTCTTTTCGATTTCTTTAGCCAGTGATCCATTTTTCTTGCCACTGATCCCAAATCCAATATTTGTTAAACTACCTGCCGCTTGAACAAATTGAGGAGGTTTTCCTGTACCAATCTTGTAACTTTTGTATAATAATATTGCATCTCCATCGCTTCTATATATGTTTTTCATTTTCTTATTTTTATTTTTCACCTTCAATTTCATTTCGTATCTTAACTGTTTAGAAGATATATTCTCGACATGAACTTGCACAATAGAGAAACGGGGAGCTTTAGGATTATAAAGAATCCGAAGAATGCCTAAGATCAAGCACATTAGCACGGCAAGAACTGTTAACGTTATAAGAACGCAAATTAAGCAACTTCGGCGGCCAGTGTTGTCCTCCTTTTCCGGATTCCGATGACGTTCGGCGATGATGGCATGCTCAGGTGGCGGGACGCTAAATATTTGATCTTTAGGAATTTGGACAACATATGTTTCTGATTCAATGGCTAGTGGTTTTGACCTTTCTTGAATTGATCTTTTACGGGAAGGAAAAGGTCTTGGACGGAAAATAGGCTCGTAGTTTGCTGGTGAAGCTCTTGGCCGCAGAGTAGAATCATCGGTAGAGTCGGAAGTAATAGTGGTGAACCGCTCCTCCATGGGGAGATGTGGGGAGAATTGTTATGATGGGAAGGGAAAGCAGTAATAAAGGCTAAAGAGAGGGTAGGGATTGCATGGTGATAGGGTAAGTTTTTTTTGACAGAAATGGGTTAAATTACAATTTAGGGAAACTTTGAGATTTTGAAATCCAGTAAATGTGAGTTTGGTAGTTAGTGAAAGAACATGTGAAACTTTGTTAATTAAGACAAGAAATAGTTAGATAGTGTAATATGGTTAGAAAGCAAAGAGAGAATAGGGCATAGAGCCAGTTTTTTTGACTCTATGTTTGGAAACTTATTACTTGGTCAAGAAACATGTTAAGGTTTGCATACTTACGCTTGCTATATATACATGGTCAATGTTGTTAAGATTACTAATTATGTAATCTCATACACATTTTATCTTTTTTTAGTGAACAGACACTAATATTTTTTTGTCTTATTTATTACTATTTAATTAGCTGATTGACTTGATATATATAGGTAGTGTCATACACTAGGTGTATGTAATAATGTAATTATATCGAGAAGTTTTGCAACTATACCGAATATCTTAATTATATGATAAAATGACTTGTTTGTACTTGGTATAGGAGCTAACTTATAAACCAAACAAACCTGACAAATTATTTGTATAAATAGGGTATTATTTACGATTCTCTTAAAAAAACTAATATAAAATTATAACAATTTGTCCATATGACAATTAACCATTAGCTTGGTGTATCCATGCATGGGTAATTATAGGCAAGTATTTCTCATGAAGTATGGTAATAAAAGTTATATCGATATATATCATAAAGAGATTAACGGAGCAAGAGAGGAAAAATTCATTGTCTCCGTAAACTTTAATATTTTTGAATCATCTTATTTTAATTTGGGTTGGTTAGATCCTTAAATTCATATTTTTAGTTTAGTTCTAGCATCTTCAAACATGAAATTATCAAGTAAAACGCATAAATATTTTAAAAGTTGTATTTTCATTGTTGGAAAAGGCCTACGTAAAAAGAAAGAAGTATATGATTCATCCTCAATTTTAGTCTTCCAAACCAAACATAGTAACATACCATGTCGTTTTCCTTCCTCTCTTTCCATCCTCCAACCAGACATAGCACAAATGAAGGGTTATCCACTTACATACGATGTCGTTTTGGAACTTCTGGCATTGTTTTATTAATTAAAAAAGAGCATAAAGAAAATAGTTATATTTCCTTTCTTCCCTCATACTCCACAGAAAAACGACAATTTCACCACCTTCACGTCCCCTTATATAACGTCAAGTGAAATTTCCTAAATTTCAATCAACATTCGGACATGGCACTCAGCACTTTCTTTCTCTCTTCTCTCCTTCTCCTACCATTGATTTTTACCAACATTTGTTTTTTGCAGGCTGAAGAGGATTGCGTGTATACAATGTACATAAGAACCGGATCGATCATAAAAGCAGGAACCGACTCTATTATCAGTGTCACTCTCTACGACGACTCCGGCGAGTTCGTGGAGATCCTCGATGTAGAGGAATGGGGGGGAATCATGGATCCCGAGCACGATTACTTCGAGAGAGGCAATCTCGACATTTTTAGCGGCAGAGCACCTTGCCTGAGCTCTCCAGTTTGCGCCATGAACTTGACCTCTGATGGAACTGGCCCACGCGCTAGCTGGTATTGTAACTACGTTGAGATCACCTCCACAGGAGTCCACAGGCCTTGCACTCAACAGCTGTTCACCGTGGAGCAGTGGCTTTCCGTTGACGTGCCACCGTTTGACTTAACCGCCATCAGGAATAATTGTTCTTGTACTCTGCTTAAATCTCTTATACTGTGAGTGTGGAGATGGTTAATTTTAGGCATTGCATGGTAAAAAATCAACACTCTGATTAAGTTAATTATCTAATACTAATAAAATAACACTAATGTTGTTTGGCTAGCTATCATTTCTACGTCTTAAGTTCCAATTTAAGTCCTATTGAGAATTAATTAACAAACATCATTTTTACTTAATTCGAGCATTTTGGCTTTGCATATGAAAAATTAAGGCTTTGTTTATAATAACAGGGAAGAAAAAAATAAAAGAAAGAAAATAATAGAGGAAGGAATATAGTAAATTTTATTTCTCTTTCTAAGCAAAGCTTAAATGTTTGTTTCAATTTTTCAATATGCATATGAGTCTTGTAACTTCTTTCTTTCTTTTTATTTTTTCAGAATAAATTTATAATTTCTTATGTTATCAAATCAAACATTGTGATAACTGTGAATTTTTAGTTTTTAAATTGATAATAAAAAAATTTAATTTTTTATATAATAAGCTTTTCTTTCTTTAAAATATGTAATCCTCTATAAATAAAATATAGTGTGAGAATACAACTTGGATGTCATGAGAATGAAAAAAATTACAAGAATCAGGAAGTATATTTGTTGGAAAAATTAAAGATTTTAATGTTCTATCTCCACATAAAGAAAAAGGGAGGAATACCTCCGAATTATATGGAAATAAAATTTAGTTGAGAATCCAAAAGGCCTAGAACCAGATTCCTGGGCCAGCAGTTAGTCCAGATTCTAGTCCATTCGGAGATATGGAGTATTGAGACCCAGTTTTGTAATCACCTCAACGTTTCGGGTGTCATCATCTTTTGAGGAAATTTTTAAATTATAATCTACTGTAAGGTACTGCGTAAAAAAAAGGCATAAAAATAAAAACAAAATCAAACTGATCATAATTTAAATTAAAAAGTCAAACTGACATGATATCTACTAGAATTATCCATTTTTAAATTATAATCTACTATAAGGTACTGCATATACTTATGCAACGAAATTTCTGATTATTGGAGACAAAAAAAAAAAAAAAAAAAAAGTTTTTATCCATTTTTTAAATTATAATCTAACTATAAGGGTACTGCATATACTTTGCAACGAAAATTTCTGATTATTGGAGACAAAAAAAAAAAAAAAAAAAAAGTTTTTCTAAAAAAAAAAAAAAAAAAAAAAGTTTTTCTTTCTCTTCAAAAATTAAGTGGTGAGTTTCGTTTGATTGACAAGTGAAAACCCTCTCCCAATCTTTCCTAGCCATTTTTATGTTGGAAGAGAACTTGAATTTTAAGCTGAACAAGATAACAATCTCCTTTCTTCTTCCCTTTTATTTTATTTTATTTTTTTTTTTTTAAACCAATTTGGATCTAAGCATACCATTTATACTTCTGTACACTTTGATTTTTAAAATAAGATATTTTTCTTTTTCGTTTTTTAGTTTATTAAAATGTCAAAAACTACTAGCTAATGGGTTATTAACTAGTATGTTAATAAGGTATTAGCTACTAACTAATCGTCTGGTAGATTCAATTAAGAATGTAAGTGTTTCATAAATACTGTATAGATTTTTAAAAAGAAATGAAAATCTTTTAATAATTTAATAACTATTTATATTTTAAAATAATTATAAATGAAAAAATCGCATAAAATATTAATTTCAAAAAAATATATATTTTTTAGTATTTGACTTGTGTCGCCATGACCTTCTTTTAAATTTTCAAATTATTGTCACTCTATTTCCGTAAGGGCATAAAAATCGTTATTTCGATCGCTCTCGAAATTGACAGATTAGTATGAACTCACCTGTAAAGTTATGCATACCATCTGATCTGAGTGAAATCGTATTTAACTATTTATACTGATAAAGACCCTTTAATTAATTTTTCCATGATTCATTATGAAATTTTAAAATTTTTAATCTTTTAACTTGAAATTAAATATTTCTTGGGCTCTAAAATAATCTTTCATTTCATATACACATATATATACACGTTTAATATATATATATATATATATTTATATAACTTTTATTACACTGTGAACCCATTTTTCATCCTTATCTGCAGACACGCTTTCACTCCCTTTTCTTTTTCCTTTTTTTTTTTCAAAATGTAGTGAAAATAAAAAATAAAAAATAAAAAAAAACAAAAGAACAATTATTATGGGTAAGGAATTATGCGTTGGCTTTTGTACGGTCCGATAACACTTGTCCATGTCAGGTTCAATCATGTCATAATAGCGAGCAATTATCAACGTCTCGTCGACTTTTACTTCACCATTCACACGTGTCCATTAAAATTAGGGCTTTAATATATATATATATATATTTTTTTTTATATATTATATATATATTTTTTTTTTTTTTTTTTTGGAGAATTTAGAGCCTTCAATATATTTGATTTTGTAACGTTTGCTATATATAGAGTTTTTGTCTTTTTTAAAGGTATATTTTTTTTTTTTTTTTTTTTTGGAGAATAGAGCTTCAATATATTGACTTTTGTAACAGTTGCTATATATAGAGTTTTTGTCTTTTTAAAGGATGATATGATATGCTATATATAGACATGGCCTCTGTAAATCTTTAAGCCACTTATATGCTTTTATAATTGGTTTATAATATATTCTCTATAACTATATATATTATAAAAATGTATAATAAGAAAAAAAGAATAAAAATATCACCACTAATATTGCACAATAAAATTTATTTATTTAATAAAAATCCTAATAAAAGAATTGAATTGTTAGTTTGAGAAAACAGATAAATCTTCAAAATTTTTAGCTATAAATAAGTTTTTATAATATTTTATATTGTTTTTTTAATTCATAATTCATCGAAAAATTTGATGAGTCAAAATAATATTTAGGATTATATAAAAAGATTCAAACTCGAAATATTCTACTTCTCACACAAGTGAGAAAACCAATCAAACTTAATTTGTTTGGTCATTTTCCATGAACTAATTGCGTATATAAATAGAAATAATTTTGAATACCAAATTTAGTGGAGGAAAAGTTTTATTATCATACTCCAAGAAACGAAAATTATCCGCCACAAAATAAATATTCCACAAATTACATACATATCTAGAAGAAAAACAAATAAATATAGCAACTAATTCTTGTATCTATGCCAAATGGACACAAATTTAAAATTCATTTAAAGAAAAATATAACAAAAATATAGAAAAAGGACATTATACGGTTAATTTTTTTAAATCATTTGATTCTTAATTTTTCTTAATATATTTAATTCTTAATTTAGTACTTTAAACTTACAATTCTAAGTTGGTATATTACTATCACTCATTTCTTATCATTAATTTCAACCAAGGTTTTCTCTTTATGCAAAGTAATTAAATTTTTTGTTAAAAATGTTTTCCCCCTTAAATTTTGCCATAAAATGTTATTTTCATCTAATAATTTTGGTTTAGAAAAAATTAAAAATTCAATAATTACGAATTGCCAAAATATGAAAGATTTATTAAATTAGTCATATTTATATTCAATATGTAGCAATTAATTAGATGCATAAAATTTATAAGATCCACCTTATCCTTACCAAATATATGTTATTTGGTGATTTATATTCCTTTTTCTTCAATAATAATCGTCTTTGAATTTGATTGTACTGATTTCTATTCTCATTGTCTTCCTTTGTATTTCCTCACATTTGTGTCTTTTAATACATATCTGAGTTATTATTTCTCATATCTTGAGATTATTGTTATTCATATTTCAGAATTTTATTTTCAGATCCAGTCGTTTGCCGGTTTTTGAGTTTTGTTATTACTATTATAGTGATTTTATTTTTAGTATTTTGTTATTTGGGTAGTTATGCAAAAAGAAGTGCAGATTTTCTTTTTTTATAAAGGGAAGAATTTTGAAGATAATAAAATCAGACTTGTAGAAAGACCATCGAGTCAAACAATGCCATGAATAGCCACCAAGTAGAGCAAACGATTCCGGCACATGTGTTATGCTATATCAACTTGATCGGATACTCCAAGATTGTAATTTTTTTTTTATTTTTTGTACGGGTGATTTATTATTAGACTTACTTTACGAAAATATAGAAACATATTGATTTGTATTTCATATCTGTACACAGTCTCCTCTTAATGAAATTTTCAGTTTGATTTCCTCTAAAAAACACAAATTAAAACTGTAAATAATTAATAAATTAATAAACCAGGTTGCCATACCATAATGGTTTTCAGAATTGAACTACAAATATAAAAAAGTAAATTTCATTCAAAGCTTGACGAATAAAAATTGTATTTTTTTTTTAAAAAAAAATAAATGGTAAAATAATAAAATCTTACTATATTATAAAATAAAAGGTAGGTGCAGGCATGGCCGGTTCATTGAATTGCCGGTTCCGGTTTAAAGCTTTAAACTGAAGAATTCGATCCAATTCCGGTCCATTTACAATACAGTTTGGTTCCAATTCGATTTCTGTTCAAAATAAATCGGTGGCCATGCCTAGGTGCAGGTTTTAGAATTAAAAAAAATTGAAATTTTTTATATGATCTTGAATCGAAAATAATAAATTGTTACACAATCACACCAAGTTCTAATGAAATTGGATCAGATCGATTAATCAAATCAGTTAATCTTTGAATCAGATATTGATATAGTCCGGTGCTATTTGGTTTTACAATAAATCAGTCATTTGGACCGTAAAATAAAGAAAGGTAAATTTATGACATTAAAAATTAAGCGGAGCAAATGATTAAAGCATTGATATAATTTTCAAAAAGTTTTCGGATTTTTTATGCTTTAAATAATTATTAATATTTTAAAAAATTATTATCAATAGAATTATTCAAATTAATATTGTAAAATATATATCAGATTAGCCTCAAACCTCCACGGAAATGTGTAGGTCAATCGGATCATTGATTGTTGGCTTGATTGATGATAAATAATTTTACATCTATGATTATATAATGACTTCTTTTGCTATAAAATTTGTATGACGATGTATTTTAAATTTTTTAGAAGTAATTGTAACAAATAAAAAAAATTTAAAAACTTAGTTGAACCAAAATTATCCATGTGCCAGTCATCACACCGCTTCTATGTTACTCCGATTTTGAAAAATTGACCTCCTCTCCCCTTCCAAGCTCTTATAAGGAGAGTGATCTCCACTGTCCAACCCACTTTAGATTTTCACACTCAAGTATGGCAGTCCAAACGCTCCTCTCTTTTCTCCTTCTCCTCGCCGTCTCTACCTTCGCCGTTTCTGTAAGTTCTTCAATATCACTACCTTCACAATACACTACAGTTAAAGCTAATTAATCATTTGTTTAAAAAATTTAAATATGTTGCAGGGCTATGAGGACTGCGTGTATACAATATACATAAGAACCGGATCTATCATAAAAGCAGGAACCGATTCCATTATCAGCGTCAGGCTATACGACGCCTACGGCGAGTTCATCCAGATCTCCAATCTAGAGGCCTGGGGCGGCCTCATGGGTCCGGAATACAACTACTTCGAGAGGGGCAATCTCGACATTTTCAGCGGCAGAGGATCTTGCTTGAGCGCTCCGGTTTGCGCTTTGAACTTGACCTCCGACGGAACCGGCTCGGGTTCCAGCTGGTACTGTAACTACGTTGAGGTCACAACCACCGGAGTTCATGAGTCTTGCTCGCAGCAGCAGTTTACGGTGGAGCAGTGGCTCTCCGAGAAGGTATCGCCGTATCAGTTGACGGCTACCAGGAATTATTGTCCAGATCTCGCCGATGTTAGAGGCCGTGATCGGGTGAAATCTGCTGTACTCTGAGAATTATTGTCCAAATCTCGCCGATGTTAGAGGCCGTGATCGGGTGAAATCTGCTGTACTCTGAGAATTATTGTCCAAATCTCGCCGATGTTAGAGGCCGTGATCGGGTGAAATCTGCTGTACTCTGAGAATTATTGTCCAAATCTCGCCGATGTTAGAGGCCGTGATCGGGTGAAATCTGCTGTACTCTGAGAATTATTGTCCAAATCTCGCCGATGTTAGAGGCCGTGATCGGGTGAAATCTGCTGTAAAATAATGCTATTTCAATTGCCTTTTCTTTTTTCATGGGCCTTATTAGGTAGTATTAATTAACAAACGAACAAATCCCATGGTTTGATGTGTTTTTGTTGCTGAGATCTAATTTAACTTGTCGTCACTTGCTTTAATGCTCATTAATGGTGACGGACCTGATAGGACTGGGAAAAAAAAAAAAAAAAAAAAAAAAAAAAAAAAGACTAAATAAAGCTAACATTTACGGAAAAAAAAAAAAAAAAAAAAAAGACTAAATAAGCTAACATTTACAAATTACATTTGCAAGTAATGGGGGATGTTTGATTTTAGTAGATGATTTTACAAAGTCATATGCTTCTCTCTTCCCTTAATGAAGACATTATTGTTTTTTCCATACGCTGTTGGATTGTCCTTCTCCTTTGAGGTTTGGCAGGATCTTGCCAATGTCTTGCACTCCTAACAGCCCTGAACGCAAGATGTACATTTTTTTTTTCTTTCTTTTGTATTTTATCCTTTACATGTTTTTATCTTTAGATCTTTTATGGACTTGGAATCTTTCTTATCACACATTCTTCCCAAAGAATAGAAATGCTCATTTTACCAATCTGCATTCGCCTGATTCTAATTCGACAGATGGTTAAAGACGGAGAGAATATGAATTTTGAAAATAAATTTGACTCATATCATTATTACTTTTTCATTTTAGTAAATCTATATAATATTATTTTTAATTTTATAAATATAAGCCTTCAAAATTTTTGACGACGAAAATATTTTTGATGGTCAATCCAAATTATGTCTAGTTATAAAATATGGATCGTATTAGACAAAACTTAGAACTAATTTTCCTCACATGTTATAAGTAATGAAAGAGCTAAAAATTGGTAAAAAAAATAATATTTTAATTAAAAAGAGAAATATTTTTTGAATATCGATAAATTCATTGTAACTTTTTTTTTTAGTATTGGAAAGGAAGATTCAAATTTAAATTTATTATCAGATCATATATGCACTTACTACTAGACCATATCTTAGTGTGCAAATTATATAAACAAACATTTATATTAATATATTAATTAATAATAATCCTCGTGAATCATTATCGGTCATCCATTATAATTATTAAGTACTAACTATTATTGGTCATTACTCGTGATGATTACTTTAATTTATTATTTTTATATATTTTTATTATATTAACAATAAATTTTTAAAGTATAAAATTTTTATATTTAATAAATTGAAAATTTTAATTAATGTTTAATACCAAACAATAAAAATATATTATGTGATATGAAAATACTAAAAAAGTTGAAAGATAAGTTCGACTGGACGACAATGAAACCCGCAATGTCATACAGAAGTCAGTATGGACATCGAATGTCCCATGACATTAATGTTCTAAAGAAATGCATGTTAAGATGGATGTACCCTTATATAAGGTTGGACAGGTTAAGAATGACTACACTCGACAAAAGGTGCATCAAATAGTCAAAGATAGAGATAAAATGAGAGGATAACATTTGATGATTTGGACATTATGGTGTGTATATATATATATATATATATATTAATATATATACTTAATTATTTACTTACGAATTTTGTTATTTTTTCTTTATTTTTATATATTTGAGCGATTTAAAATGACAAAGGACTTATTATATCAATCCTCAATTAATTTTAAAATTGAGGCTTTAAATTATCCATTATTATTATTATTGCATTACAATAAAATTAATTTTAAAAACAAATAATTCTGAATCTTAATTCAATTTATTATTGATAAGCGGTAGCTCCTATTATATATACTTATTTATTTACTTACGATTTGCTTATTTCTTATTTTTATATATTTGAGCGATAAAATGACAAAGGACTTATATATCAATCCTCAATTAATTTAAAATTGAGGCTTAATTATCATTATTATTATTATTGCATTACAATAAAATAATTAAAAACAAATAATCTAATCTTAATTTCAATTTATTATTGATAAGCGGTAGCTCCTATTTTCTACTCTTCCTTTCACTTTCAATCTTTTATTCACTTTCAATAAACTAGTATCAGTTGCTTCCCATAACAAATCCTTTTTTTTTATTATTATTATTCCTACTTTGTCTAGGTACATGGAGTTTCTTTTATACATTTTGTGTGATAATTTGATCTTTTCTCTTTGAGGATTTGATCTTTTCTCTGTCAGGATTTGGTTCCTCCTTTGTGATGGTTCGTTATTAAATAAATATATAATATTTGATTTTATTTAGTGGAATAATTTAAATTTTAATTTGCAAATGCGAATCTTCAATTAATGGAGGTTAGGAGTGTAATATGTTTTTCTATTATTTCTATTGGCACATAGCTACGGGAACCTTTCTATGTACTTCATATACTACAAGATCAAGATATAGAAAATATAAATAAGTTATTTTATCTTTCAAATTAATTTAAGTATTAGTTGCTACTATCAAGATTTATATCATTTAATAAGATTAAGATCATCCTCAAGCGTAAGGATAAAGTATAATCTCTCTTAATTTTTAAAGTTCTCCAATTTTTTCACTTATCATTTTCAAGTAAGATTGTGTGTATTTAGGAGGCCTATTGGCTCAGATATAATTTCTTGATTTTGTTAAGTTTTTCCTGGATGTTTAATTAATAAAATAAAATAAAATTATATTTGCTGATAAAAAAATAATCTCTTTTAATTTTAATTTTATTATTCAAAAGAATATAAATAAAAATAATATTTTTAGTTTGTTAAAACATGAGCAGATTCTATTAATTGCGATAATAAAGTTCTATGTCTAATCTACGTGAACGTGAAAAGCCACTATAGGCCAAGGAGGCAGTGGACTCCCTGATTTTTCTTTTAAAAAATTGATATGTGGTATTTTTTTTTTTTTTCTAAAAGGTTAACTTTGTGGCTTTGTCTTTTTTTTTATTTTTATTTGTACTCTAATTATTCAACATACATCCAAATTTAATAATTTTGATCCTCATTTTAGTCAGCGTTCGGAGTTTGCAATAGCACATGAGCTTTAATTCCTTCAACTTCTATGTGGATTGAAGAAAATTGCTTCTCATGAAAATGATGATAATTATTTTATATGAGACTTTCAAAAGCCTACAAATTAACCTACGAATTTATCTTATTTGTTAAAAATTATTTTTTGTATTAACCCTAACTTAGGTTAAAAATTATTTTTGATAGATCTTATTTGTTATCATTATTATTATTATTTTTAATTAAATTCTTTCATATTAATATTATTGAAATAATTTTTTCGTAGATAATAATAATATAGTATTATTTCCTAATTAATATAAAGAAAAGGAGAATGTTCAATCTTGAATTTCTCATTGGTTTATTTTAAATCATAAAATATATACTTAATTATACACATGGTTTGGGTGCCTTACATTATTAACCTAATGCATTTCATTTTTTTTTTTTTTAAGAAAAATGCATTGCAATTTAGGGAGTTTAACAAATTAATTTTGGATATTGAACATTGTATTCATCCTATTGTAGTATTTAAAAAATTAATTAATTTTAAGAGATAGCATGAATTTTTAATTGTATCTAATCACAAAAAAACGATAATATTAAAAGAGATGTATTTGTACATATTGACAAGGAAATTATTATAAATAGAATTCAATTAATGAAAAATGGATGAGGTTTATTGAAATTTAATTATAACAATTTATTTGCTTCTTATATTTTAAAATGGATCTCCTCACTGAGTTTTTTGGCTTTTTGTAATCTCTATCAGACCATAGAGGATAAAGATATTTTAACCTCATAGCAAAGTGCGCTTTTTCAGAAATTGAATTTATATTCTTACCTTTATAGGGGTTGAAGTTATTCACCACACGAATCAATATATTATTGGTACATGTGATATTATTATTAATGTATTATATTTTTAAAATAAATAAAAATATGTTGTTTTATAAATATTTTCTAATTTCGAGAAATAATTCTCAAAAATAAATTATTTTCTAAAAATAAATAAGCTCCTATTAATAATTAATTACTGTATAAACAATAAGATAATATAAATAATTTCTTTCATGTTTTGGTTTTTGGAAAGTCCATGACACATAGCACCATAAGATTGAAAGCCGATACTACAAATTATTGCTTTTGTTTTAATATTTAAAATTTAAATTTGAATCCATTCTTAAATCATATATGTATTTACGATTAAAGCTATGTCCTAGGGCGTAAAACTACAAACTATTGATAGCTACACATGAAAAGTCCTTGAAGTTATTCAATATATTTTATATATAAGAAAGTAATACATTTTATATTTAAATTAAATTCACACAAAGAACATTTATATATGATAATACACACACATATATATATTTCATGGACAATTAATTTTGTAACAAATCAGATTATAAATGCAAATCTTTTATAATTTTCTATATTGTATTTAATAAAATGCAATAAAAAAAATTAATCAAATAGGGGCATAATGGTAGAGAGCAGAGAACTTATTCTTAAGCTGCACATATAATAACCTTCTTTTCGTTTTCATATACACACACTTCTACAATCTTCTTTAGGACTCACCCAACGAAAAGACAATAATACCACCACGTCAACGTCCACTTTCAACGATATAAATGACAGCTCTACCATCAACCCGCCGTTTTCACACTCAATTATGGCACTCAACAATCTTCTTCTCTGTTCTTTCCTTCTCTTTGCCCTATCCATTGTCGCCGTTTCAGTAAGTTACGCCATAACCACCGCCACTACACCTCCTTTCATTTTTTTCACATATAAATAATGTTTTTTTAATTGCAGGCGGATGAGGATTGCGTGTATACGTTGTACGTAAGGACCAGCACGACCTTTAAAGCAGGAACCGACTCTATCATCAGCGTCAGGCTCTATAATGCCTACGGTGAGTACGTAGAAATTCGCAATTTAGAGACCTGGGGCGGCCTTATGGGTCCTGGCTACAACTACTTCGAGAGGGGCAATCTCGACATTTTCAGCGGCAGAGCACCTTGCTTATCTTCTTCTCCGATTTGCGCCTTGAATTTGACCTCCGATGGATCTGGCCCAGGCTCCAGCTGGTACTGTAACTACGTTGAAGTCACCGTCACAGGAGTCCACGCGCGTTGCTCGCAGCAGCAATTCACGATCGAGCAGTGGCTTTCTGTTAAAGTGCCACCATATGAGTTAACAGCAATAAGGAATTATTGTCCGTCGGCCGATGTGGCCGATCTTAAGCTTCGCCGTCACCGTCATCGGTTTGAATCTGCTGTTATATAAAGCGTGGTCTTGTACTGTTGTTAGACGCTGCATTATTGGAGATGGATAATAAAGTAATTTTCAATGCCTTTTTGTTTGGCCCTTGCTAATTACTATATCTAAAAAGTGTTTTAAAATTCTAAAAAAAAAAATAAAAAGTTGTCGTTACTTCAATTAATGATATAACTCGAAAGAGAAAAGATGCTGACTATGCGAATTTTTTTTTAATCACCCGAATACGCGAGTCATTGATTAACGGCGTAGATCCTAATATCGCATGCCACGTGCATTGGTTGTTATTTTGTAGAAAATTAATTGCATAAGCGTGTTACATTATATAGTAGTAATTTTTCGGTTTAAGTATTTTTAATTTCAATGATTTCGTTTATTCTTAAAGTTCGATAAAAATTACCGAAATAGGGAATGAATTTTCAAAAACAAAAAACACGCCCAGTGGGACTCGAACCCACAATCGCCTGATTAGAAGTCAGGCGCCTTATCCATTAGGCCATGGGCGCTTTTGATATTTAAAATCCAACTTTAATAAAATTTTGTATAAAAGAATATAACTCATTGAGATCTGAAAATCAACTGTAGTTTTTTTAATTATTCATACCGGTTTAGATCAAGTCTATTAACTCTATGAATAGATTCGGCCAATGAAAATAAAAGATTCTTACAAATTATTCATATTTTGTCCTTTTTTTTTTCTCAGTTATAGCAATAAATACTATTGTTTCAACACAAATTTTTTTATTTTTATTGGTTCGACTCATAGATGAGGTATTAACTCCATATGAAGTCAATTATAATTTTTATAAGTTTCAACAATTTTTAGGTGCTGTATATCTCTGTATTAGATATTCTAGTACAAATACATATAAGTGACAAATAAGGGAATATTTTAATATATATATATATATATAGAAATATTTAGTACGTGTTGTGTATTGAGACAAACAAGAGACCAGTACAAAAAGGCAACAAATTTTCTTTTTAGATTGGAAAAAAAAAAAAAAATACAAAATAGACGTACGATCAGAACACTACTTTTTGAAGACGTAATCACATAAGGCAGCTGTGGATTCAGATAAGGGAAAATTATTATTTTTTTTTTGACATTTGATAAGGGAAAATTATTGTTTGTTCTTTTTGCTTGGCAAAATTGACTACTTAACTCGAACCACATAAGACATGTGTTTTGGGTTTGGTGGTGCCATTATTTTTGGGATTGACATTCAAACTGTGTTCTATTTAACTCGAACTTGGATTTAGTTCGCAACACCATCTCTACTCTACCACCCAATGCTTCTCAGATCAAAAATGGAATTTGCCTTCGATTCATATGACCCGTCAATTCTGTTTTCTGCTCCTCTTTTATGGATTATTGATCCATCTTCCTCCTTTATTTTCACATAGGTTAACAACTCAATAAAAAGCAGAGTGATATCATTTTCATTGCCTGCTTCAATTTCTAGAGCGAGGTATTTATGAATTGGGTTGTTGGAGTTTTTTCCATATTCCTTCTTTTTGTCGATTTACTTTGGGGTTTCAATTTATTTTTTGTTATTAAGGGAAAGAGAGCCATATTTACATCATGATTGTGGCTGAAAAGGATTGGGTTGATAATGAAACAAACTAGAAGAGTATGAGAAGAATGAAGGGGAATCTTGTTGTGAAGGGGGGTCTTGTTGCCTGTTCTTTGTTATGCTAAGTCCCGGTACCGAATGATCCAACATCATCGTAGAAGAGATTCTATTTTGGAGATTTGGAGATAATTTCTGCGAAGCTGTCGGCTTGGAAAGCTAATCTTCTGACTTTTGTTTTTCTGGGAAGACAACCTTAGCTAACTCTACTCTTCCTGCTCTGAAAATAATGGATCTTATTTTGACAGTGGATTAAGTGAGAATAATAGATTAGAGCTGGGGGCATTAATTTCATCTGCAACTAACATCTAAAACGGACGAGAAGGATAAATGTTTGTAATGCACCAAACTATAAAGATACTCTAATGTATTTTTTAAAATCGAAGAACATAGTCCAGACCAGTAATTTATGGCGAATTATAAGAATAAAATTATTATTTTCCATAATTAAGGCGGGCCCATGTTTTCTCTTGCAATGCAGCATCCTTGAGAATATGTTCATAGAATCTCCCTGTCCTCTTTCTTTCATTGACATCTCCCTGTAGGTCTCCTTTCTAATTAATCTCAATTTCCTCCCTAAATACCTTTCCCTTGAAGTCCAGGGGATTTCATATTTCAGTCCAGTTGAAGCCGCGTAAAAACATCGACTCAAATGTATCCAACTCTCTAAAATCTACCACTTCATCTCCTGAGATCACCAACATCATCTTTCAGGTGAGTAATATTTTCATTTTTAGTATTTCATTTCCATATGGTAAATGTATATGCATGAAATAGAAAGAATTCAGGAGTGAGAGCAATATCAAATTCAATCCTTGGTTAGATTAACAAAGTTGGAGAAATGAATGTTAAGGAAATTAGCAGGAGACAAGAAATTCTACAACTTTTATGAAATCTGAAATGGAGGAGTAATTATCGGATTTTTAGTATTGAATTTGAAACGAGTTTATAAATCTAGAATTACTTAACGTGAGTAGAGATGACAATTTCACTCAACCCAATGGATACCTGATCCGATCTTAGCGAATTTAGAATGGATTCAGATGGTATTTAAAAAATATCTGAACTCGAGTACCCACCATACGTTACCCGTTTAATAAATATTGAAGAAATATTTAAAATAATTATTTTTTTAAAAGAAAAAATCTTATATGTACACTTTTTTTAATATAGTTAATTCTACAATTATATTCAATATTTATATCATATTTTTTATTAAGTCAAGATAGATAATTTTATAGTTTTTTCTTGCTGTCTATTTTTAAAAAATTAAAATAAAAAACATTTTTAATGCTGAACCGGTTTAGAAAGGGTTCGACTACCTAAATTGTAATCGGGTTAGAATTTGGACAGTGCATTTTAAACTGGTATCAATCCGTTGTCATCCCGGTGTGAGGGGCTGCTTGTTAAAAAATGAGAAACGGGCCACGGGTTTAAAGGCCCAAATATTAAAAAAAAAAAAAAAAGGAGATACAAACCAAAACGCTGTAGTTTTAACTTAGGGCTTCAAGCTCTCTTTTGTGCGTTCACTTTTTTCAAGCTAAGCTCTGGCTCTCATCTTGTCCCTTCTCTCTCGCTAACTTTCTCCTCTTATTCTTCATCATCTGTGTGGTGAGTTGAAGTAGAAGGCTCAAGGCTGCAATCAAGGAGCAATCGCATGATACAACAAGGGAGCCTACATGCAACTTCTTTTTTCAGAGATTTGTAGATTAATTTGTATTTCCTCTCGCTAATTACTGGTAATTTTGTTTATATTAATTTGTATTAAGTTGTAGATTGAGGGAGTGTCAATTATCTGGTTACATTTTTCTTTGTTTGGAGTTTTAAGTTTAGATTTTCTAAGTATTCTTTCTTGCGTTGTAGTCCACTTTGATATTGTTTGTACTTATTTGAGTATAATATCATAATTCAGTACAGTATCATAATTGGCTATTACATTTGCAATTTATGTGATTTAATGATATGATAAAAAAAAAAAAAATGCAATACAGGGCCATGGCAAACTGCAGCTTTATTTGCTTGTTTATTTCTAAAGCTTCAATACTTCTCATAAATAACAGTATAGTCTATCTATACACTTGTATACATATATCTATTGGTTATTCCTTTCTGGTGTATTGAAAGTTTGTGTTTCTCTCTGTAGATCCAAAATGAGGAGATCGTTGATGTGGGTGGCTCGTCCCTTGGTAACAACACGTGGATTTTGCACGAAGTCGGAGAAAATTGTAGCATCTGTACTTTTCGAGAGATTACCAGTTGTAGTCCCCAAAATAGACCCTGTGGTTTATGCATTTCAAGAGTTCTCGTAAGTTTTTTTGGCTTTGTCTGCTTTTAATTTTTATGAAATTACTCTTCTTGCCACTTCTCCCAATTAGAGGAATTTTATTTGATATTAGTTGAATCGTACAATGACACAAGAGAATGAAAATTGTAAATTTTCTATTTCTTTACTTGCTGATTATCAGTGAAGGAATGGTGGTTATGGGAGAATGTGAAGGGGTTTGCACTTTAGTTATTATAGGTCTTTTAAAGTCATGGAACTGGTTTGAATTCCTTTGGGGTTTGCTGCAGGTTTCGGTGGCGGCAACAGTATCGACGACTTTATCCTGATGAGTTCTTAGACAAGTCTAACTCAAGGTAGAACATCGATGATTCTGTTTATCAATAACGTGGATTAGTACATCGATGATTCTGTTTATCAATCATGTGGATTAGTATTATTATGAAATGAAGTTTGAACATGTCCTAATAGTTGTGTTTCATTCTTTTGTGACTAGGGGGAAGGGTGACTATCAAATTGACTATGTACCAGCACCAAGGATCACTGAAGCTGACAAAACAAATGATAGAAAGTAAGACATGACCAATAGAATATTGTTTCCTCTTGCTCATACTTAGAGGCTTCATGTGATTTTTGACTGATATTTTAGGGGGTTTGGCACTGTTATATGGACATAAATACTTTTGAACTTCATAGATTTTTTATTGTGAGGGCTTTGTGTGGTTCTAGTGTGTAATGGCATGTATTTGTATATTCTGAGTGGTGAGTATTGTTCACATTGAGATATTAACTTTTATAGGTTACCAATGTTATTCATTTTTTGACCTTGGTGGAAGAACATTATGTTATAGTTTCAGTTTAGGCAGCCGTTTCTTCGTGAGCCAATTTTAACGTCTTTGTTATGTTGTGCCAAATGTGCTTTGACAGATCTTTTCGTTGTGTGGTGATATTTGAATTGGTAGTATGACAATATTAAGTTTTTATTTAAAATAGTATCAGTTTGGAACCGAAAAATCTTAATTAACATTAAATCTTCTTATACAATATCTTCTTGTATTAATAAGAATCTATTGTTCTGCTGCATGCCATACTCATATTTATGTATTGTGGGTGGAGCTTGTATATGCTTTAGATTTCTGGACTTACCTGAAAATTCAAATCTCTATTAACGAATAGAGCCTTTGGTTTTTTTTTTTTTTGGTTTATATTGGTGCTAATTTCTGAAGAACAATATTCCTAATTATAGTATCGTAATCTGTTCTCTCTAGGTCCTTGCAAAGGGCACTTGACAGAAGACTTTACCTTCTTTTATATGGAAATGCATATAGATCTCCTAGTGGGAAGCCGGTTTGGCATTTTCCCGAAAAGGTGTATGAGGCTGAGGAGACATTGCGCAAGGTTAATTTCACTGTTATCTTTAATTTCGTTCTGCTTTTTTCTCTTCTTCTCCTTATTTAAATTCTAAATATTTGCAGTGTGCAGAGTCTGCATTACAATCTGTTTTAGGGGACCTTTCTCACACATATTTTGTTGGAAATGCTCCAATGGGTCACATGGTCATAAAGACAACAACAGATGATGCACCAGATGCTGGCTATAAGGTATATTCAAAAATTATATAAACAATTATGGTACATAGTACATATTTTGTCTTAGAAAATTTGGCTTCAAAACTAGAATAGTGAAAAGAAAACATAAAAATAAGATATGTAGTTGGATATGATACTACTGGTATTCTATTTTGACCGGTTAACTTTTCTTTTTCAGCAATTCTTCTTTAAGTCGCAGGTGATTGCAACAAACAAGTTTGAAATTGGCAAATGTGATGATTTTGTTTGGGTGACTAAGGATGAATTGCTCGAGTATTTTCCTGAGCAAGCTGAATTCCTTAAGAAGATGATCATCAGCTGAATTAGATGTCCAATTTGAGGGTATATTATGCCATTAGTCACTTAAACTTTATATTTTGTATCGTTAAAGGCACGAAACTTTGTAGTTTCCTTTTATTTTTGTTTACTGGGAGGTCATTCACCACATTCAAGTAACTGGAGCACTGGTTCAACTCAATAAGAATATTCATAGGAATGAAGAGGATCCTAATGATTTTAGGCCATATTTTTGTCGACGGATGATCTACAGGTTGCTTGATAGGAATGAAGAGGCAAGAGAACAGTTTGCCAATTTTGATTTTTTTTTTTTTTTGGTGTGCGTGCTCTCGCGCTAATTGACAATAATAACCTCATCTTGTGAACAAATTAAATATGGGTAAATTATTATTTCGACAATTGTTCAGATTATTAAAAAAATTAATTTTTGCTTTTAGTATATATAAGAAGTACAATAGAAATAGGAGAGTATTTTGATGTTTTCATTAAAAACTAATGGCAATTAATAATTAATTTAAAAAATAGAGGAATCAAAGTGTTAATGACAGCATAAAGAGTATTTAGCCTTAATTAAACTAATGGCAATTAATAATTAATTCAAAATAGAGGAATCAAGGTGTGAATGAAATCATAAACTATAAATCTCGTAATAATTAGTTTGGTTATAATTTAGGAATTAATTTTTTAATCAATTTTGACGGTAGAAAAGACTATTTTGTAAGGAAATACTAAAGTATTGATGTAATTATATGTTAAACAAAAGAAATTATAATTAGTTTTTGAAATTAGAGCTCATCGTCTACTAATTTCACTATAATTTAAAAATCAGTTTTAAATTTTCCCCCATAGTATGAGTTGGTTTTTCAAGTTTAGATATGCAGTACATATCATTGGAAATCAATTTAAATTGTTTTTACGCGGAATATATTTATCTATTAAATATTTATTTTATAATTTATTTTTAATATCTCTGTGATGGTTATAAAACTCTAGTTGACAACCTTGGCCGAAAGGCTCTATTTTATCAGCCTGAACTGAGCCAACAACGAAACAAACTCTCTAGGCTGGAAGATAACTTGAAAGTATCAGCAACTGTGTTAGCTTGACCCTTCTATGAGCTTTGCAAGCAAAAACCTTGTCACGTCCAATGTTAATCCTCACATTTCCACTAGAAAGAGATTGCAATACTTGAGAATCTGGAGATAGACCCTTCTAGCTAACTAAGAGAGTGCTCTCTTTAATTATCTCTATGCTTGCATCAGTCATAAGAACCTTGAAAGCATCCTTTAAATATAATAGCCTTAAAACAAGGTATATTCCATTTGAATATGCAAACAAATATTTTTTTATTAATTAAGTTTTAAGTAGAATACGTATTTGAAATTTAAGATATAAATAAATAAGACGATGAAAACCAAGCGCTTAAAATTTATAAGAATCATGTTAACTAGTCTTTCCATCAAACAAATTCTCCCATAAAAATGTTCTCATACAAGCGAACAACTATACACTTACTTGACAACGTTTTCTAAACATGGTTGCGAAATTTTCTCCTCTAAATAAACCATGTTTGCCCCTTCACTAAATACTTAATTTTTGTTTGCTCATTGTCAACATGCCCAACAATTAATGCCCTGAAATTCATTTTATTCTATAAGCCTCACTATTGCTGGGTCTTGCAATGTTTGGTATCTTTCACCTGATTTAACAATCTTCTTGGTCTCTCTAAGTTGAAATTTCTTTGCCCTTCACATTCCCATCTTCTTGAGTTTTTCCTTGGCTTCTAACAATCCCTTGCTTACTTCTTCATTATCTGGTGCTTCTTTATGCAACATCTCATAGTCTTGAATTGAAGCTTCCCATTTTTCCAACTATTTCACCGAAATTAAACATTATATTCTATAGAAACTACTTGAAATGAAACATTTGACATAAACCAAAAACCAAAGAGCGCTCACAAATCCCGAAACAAGATTACTCTTGCACTCGTAAAAGACCAAAAAAAGAACTATTCTATCTAATCAATTACCTTAAAATAGCAATCTGCTCTGCGTAGTCTAGCCTTGGAATAACCAGGACGCACGTTAAGAGCAGCAGTGCAATCCTCAACAGCTTTCTCATACTGGCCGAGCTTGGACCGACAAGCGGCTCGGTTGCACAACAGAACCGAGTTGTAAGGCTCATGTTCAAGTCCCTCACCGTATGCATTACAAGCTTCATAGAATTTGCCGGCCGTGAATAGTTGATTACCAGTCGATCGAGCTGCTGCCACGCCTGTTGCCTTCCTCATTACCATGTTTGCTTCCTTATTATTTGAATCAAGCCTAGTTGCTCGCTGAGCAGCTTCCATAGCATCATCAAATCTGTCAAAATCATTGATTTAACCACCAATTTTAGCATATGAAATAACTAACCTTTTCATAAACCCAAAATATAATTAATCAGTGGCATTTAACGGATAGAAATATCTGGGATGCAACATTGGATGAATCTTATTCTAAAAAGTCTTTGAAATAGATTATATTTTCTAATCAAATAATAAAATGTGAAATTCAATTGATTTTTCATCCCATCAATCCAAATGAATACTAAATTCATAAAATTCTGAATATTAGTCTTAAGAAATAAAAATAAATTATAAAATCTTTCATTTTACATTCCTCTTATTAAATGAAATCAAGAATTGTGTTTAATGCATTTAGAGCTCAGCATTACCGAATCCAAACAAGTTCAGTTTCAGTCTATCCGAATGCATTTTATGGCAATCGAATTCGAAACAGAATGATATAGAGACCGAGTAAAATTGAATTGAACCGATTGATCGGTAAACCAAAAACCAAATGGTTTTTCATGGCAAACGGATGGTGACTAAAATTTTAAAATATTTAACTGGTGCCAGTTCAAAATTTTAAAAGTGTTGAACCTGAACCAACTTTAAACCATCGATTCTAATCTAATTTGGATTCTGGCGGATTCTAGTGTGGTTCCGACGATACGTATATGATTTTTTTCAAAAAAAAAAAAAAAAGAAATTTGTTTCTAAGGTTACATCTTTCTGAAAAAATTAATGTGAATTTCAAAAATAAAATTTAATTTTAAAAATAAATACGAAATAATCAACTAAATTATGATTTTATATTGTCTAAGTGTTATTAATTAAATAAATCGTTAGAAAAATTTGAAAAATATTTCAAATGATGTAATTTCGGACTAAGCAAAAAAATTTAGAAGGAAAATGACTTTGTAGCCGCATAGAATAAACGTTGTGATTATAAAATTTTCAAAAATAAAAATAGAATTTTAAGTTTGAACAGAACCAATCCTGCAAGTTCTAGACTAATTCAGATTCATTGTTTAATATTAATATGAACTTTAACCCGCCTATTAATTACTGATTTCGGTTAAAAATTTTAAGCGATGATTTTAGCTCGGTTGGTTCCAAACCGGTAGCAACGTGGGTATGATTTGATTTCTTATTAGAAATCAAATATTTGTCACCCCTGAATGCATATCCCTAATCAGAAATTTGTCTGAATGAAAAGAACCGAAAAGACAGAACTTAACCCAGGACAAATGGACAATCATTTGAGAATATATTCGCAAGTTGATGTACTGGCGATAGGTAAAGGGTCTAATTTTACCTATCCTTGACTTACAGAATCCTTCTGGTTCCACTTTTTCCCTACAGGAATTAGCCCTTTTGAGTTGTTCCGCAACAAATTCAAATGTTACTACCATTTTTAAATTATTTTATTACTACCCATTACAACCTTTTAATTCTCTTCCTCTGTAATGCAACCATATTTACTTTACGTTATATATATATATATATATATCGACAGAAAAATGTATAATATCACTAACCTGCCAACAGTCATGTCAACCTGAGCTCGCACCATTAACAAATTTGCATTGCAAATAGGACCAAAATATTTAGTACAATCATCAACACTGAAGTTTGGACCCTTCGCCAATGCTTGATCTGCTTCTTGATGCCTATTTAACTTTATCAAGGCCTCAGCTTGTAACGCAAATATCTTCTCAAACGTTACACAACCAAAATACCCATGTTAAATATAATCCAAAAAGGTCTAATATAATATAAGTACCAAAAACTGATATTTTAATTCGGTTACAACATCAATTCTGGTTTTACACGAGCTGTGCTGAGTGGAAGAGTCTTGTCTAGCTCGAGTTCAGTTTGTTTAATTTTATATATCTATAAAGAAAAAAATGTAAATGATAAATTTGGTGGCTTACATGTGGGGCTGAATCTGCACCAGAAATAATTGCATCCTTGGTTTCCTTAATCAAGGTATTCCAATCTCGTAGTCTTCTTGCTTCAGTGCATTTATTAAGATGAATTTGAAGACCTTTAGCTTTAGCAATGTCAAAATGATCAGCTTCCGGCCCTGCATGTTTATAGTGATACATAGCTTGTTCACCATCTCCTAATCTATATATGCACACATTCAAAGAATAAATAAATCAATCAATCATAAACATGAATTAATTAATACTTAAACATGCGAAAATCTCATATTATACTACTCATTACCTGATATACAAATTGGCTAAACGATGATGAGCTCTATGATAATTGGGTTGAATCCGAATAGCTTCTCTGCATTCAAAAACTGCCTCAAGAACTCTACCTAAAGCTGTCAATGCCGCGCTTTTATTACTCCTGTAGGAAGCCTTATCAGGATCAATAGCAATAGCAGCATCATATAAAGCTAGTGCTTCTGCAAAATTCCCATTCTTGTAGTCTTCATTTCCCATAATTTTCAGTTGTTCAGGATCCATTCTTGTTGACAGAGCCCTACACAAAGAACCGTTTCCTGTTTGCTCTACATTATTACTACTACTTTGTGGTTGTTGGTTTTTAACTACATTTCCCATAACACTATTTGGGTATTTCACTTTTACTGTCTGTGTTTGCGTCTGCGTCTCTTCTCTTGCAGTTTTTGGAGGATGATCAAGAACATTATATGAATTCGAGTTTCCTCCTCCTTGTCTCAGGTTACCTAAATTACCAAAAAGCATTACATTGCTCGATGAGGCTCGAACAAGATTACTATTTCCTTTATTATTCTTTTGATGATCGGCAATCATTGTTTCAAGCTCGCCGGAGATACCAGTTGCTCCTTTAGGAACTTTCCTGCCCTGTTGTATAGGATAACTGAAATTTTGGTTGCCGCCGTGAAATTGGTCAGCCTGCGGCGTTATTTTGATTGCCTCCTCTGCAGATTTCCTAGCATAGTTTTCTCCGGCACTTTTATCTTGTTGTTGCTGTCGTTCTTCTAAAGAAGGGAGTTGGGGTTGATCAGAAGCTTTTGTAATTGGTTTTGCATGGCCATTTAAAAATACAGTCTCATCGGAACCACTCTTTCGGCGTTTTGGTGCTATAGGATCTCTGACCAAGTTGTTTCCGGGCATTGCCATTGCCTGGAGTGAACCAGAAGATGTGCTTCTTCTTGGCCAAAGTGTTCGTCGTCCAAAAACTGCATTTATAAGGCCACAGCCTGATTTTTTATCAGGCGTAACGTCTCCCATTTGAGTTTAATTATATCGGATCAATTCAATGACATATTCTTATGCCAAGAAAGGCATTAAAATTTAGAAACATTGTTGTCAGGATAAAGAAAATTGAAGACTACATGCAGAGAAAGGATCAAAGCAAGAAGAAGAAGAAGAAGAAGAAGAAGGAAATGAAGCCAAGCCCCAGGAGAATATTTACAAGGCCTCCTGGAGTGGCTGCCAAGAAAGAAACAAAGGAACTTTGGGTTTTCTCTTCAGAGAAATGCTATTGGAATGAATGGAATAACAAAATGGAAATTTTCAGGGAAAAAAAGATGAATAAAGATTTACATTCTGGTTTTATTTTTCTTTTTCTTTTGAAAATGGAAGGGAAGCAAGAGACCCGCTCTTGTGTAAAATAAGGATCTCTAGATTTTTAGCAAAGAGTGTGTTTCTATTGCACAGAAATAAACATAATTAAGAGAATGTTAATGTTAGAGAGGAGGGCACGTTACCGTTTGTATTGTTTTGAGCTTAACACGTCTTGTAAGACAGCTGTGAAATAAAACCAACAAACAAACAAACAATCAGTAGTTATTGTTTATTGTTTTTTAATTCACTTCTTTCTCCTCCTAATTTTTCATCTTTCATCATTCCATTTGACTTTGATGTGCTCATTGTCTAAAAAGCAGACTAAAATAATGGACATTCTATTTCCAATTTTTAACTTACATAAAAGTAAATTTTAAAATGAAAAATCAAATCCACAACCAATTATCTTGGGGTTATTTTGGGTAAAAAAAGTGTAGGATATCAAGTTTAGAATAATGAAATTATTAGAATAACTTTCAAAGCTTAGTACAATGTCATGTCTAGCAAATTAATGCGACAAAGGAAAAACCCCTTTTACCCATTTAGATGGAAAACCAAATCAAACAAGCAAAGTAAGGTTGTCAAATTCACTTCTCTAACTATTATAAAATTGGTGGGAAGTTCACAAAATCCAACCGCTCAATCATAAGATTTAACAAACCACCTAAAAAATAAAATAATAGTACAGCTCCATATGCATCAAAACAAAGGAAAGATAAACTTGTATCATACACATTTTATCACATCACACCCATAATTAAAAATACAATCCATACCAGTTTAATTATGTTGCACGCCAAAAGAAAAGAATTGAGGAACCAAAGTTGACTTGAGTTATAGAAATAGTTGGAGAGAGAGAGAGAGAGAGAGAGAGAACAAAAAAGGAGAGTTGTACCATGAGTACAATAACATCTCCAAGTCTTATGATTTATTCACACTCGCAAATTTAAATCCTTTCAATTAAAATAGTTTTTACTAATTTAATAAATTAAAAAAAGAATTATTCTTATTTTCATCTATTGGACCTTTAAATAAATAAAAAAAATAAATTTTTTAATTAATAGTATTTGAATTGCATTAACTTGCTAAACAGAACACCCTCGTCATTGGTGTAAAATCGATCCTACTTTAATATTTTCAACTATTTAATAAGTCGTTTTACCATGACAGTGAATTTTCAACTTTGTATTCTTTATTGCAATCATATGATCAGTATAATTTTACTATGTTAAAACACAATTCTGATAATAACAACATATATTAATACCTTTTTTTAACTATTTATATTAGCTGGTAGACCATAGTAGACAGTCAGATGAGTGTTAACATTTGGTAAAGTTTTAATAGTAACTGCAGTTGAAATATAGAATGACCGTAAAATATAAGTAACAATCAGATAACATCTGATAGAAAAAAGCTACAAAATACAACTAAAAGAATTCAGCAGCAGCCAAGTGCAAATAGATTATTAGCTGCATGAATCAACTTAATGAAAAGCTCTCTAATTATATTACATGAATGTGGATGTCATTTTCGAAGAGAAAAATCAAACAATAATAAGAATAAAAGACTGAATTTACAGTTATTTATCAAAAAAAATACCTCAATCTTTCAAGCTGAACTCATTCTATCAAACTATTAAGCCGCACCTTAGTCATTGTATGACATTTCAATTTCATCATTGTATAATATTCCAACAAACATACTCTCAACGGTTAGGAATCTCTCACCCCAGACTCCTCAACCCCCAGAATGGTGGGCAATGTTTTGAAGAATAATCAAAATAAAGAAATGATGAAGTAATGTTAGCGTTCTACCTAAAACAAAAGCTTTCTGTCTACCCTCAGATTATCAAATTGTCAAGCGGGCTATGGCGAGTGTCTCTTTAATTCCTTCCGTATTGCTTCTGATAATTGCTCAGCATTATACTCAATACCGAAGCATTTTGCAATCTCCATGTTCGGATTGATTAAGTACCTACAAGATGCATAAGTATAAATTAATTCAAATTTGCAATAAATATGCACACTCACCCTCTCTAAGTCAACGAGAAGAAAAATGAAATTATGGAACATAGGAATACATGTTATGGGAAGACTCGACAAGGTAATCATCGCCTTCCTCTTCAACTTTTCTGAAATAGACACGGTACTCTTGTGCCATCTGCCTTACAGCAACAACAGGTCCTGTCAGTCCAACTATCCTCGAATCAAATTCTGCAGTCCTTCAATGAAAATCACAACAAGAGAAAATTAGAGAAGTCAGTAGTTTAAACAAAATTAGCAAATTATTTCAAACATATTAACTTGTAATAGCCCTCTGACCTTTAAGGTAAGCTCGAAGATGCGAGGGAGTGTCACGTTGCGGATCAATAGAGACAAAGACAGGTAAGACCTTAAGGTTGTCCTTTGACTCTTAATCCAAATAACACACTTGTTAGATATACTACCAACAAAGAGCAAAACCTTGGAAGAGTCAAATATGTTCTGTAAAAACAGCAAAAGAAACAAACCTAACATATCTATGGCCTTGGCCATCACTTGGACTTGTTCAGGTCCAACATCAGGGGAGGATGTATAACCAAAGTACAGCAGAACCCAATTCCCCAGAAAGTTCTTTTCAGTAACTACCCGATTGTCTGTATCAATCAGCGTAAATGGACCACCAATAATTGGGCCCTTGACATCGACACAATCAAATTTGTTGCTTTCACCTGATTCCATATGCAAGACGAGAATTATCTTTCACAACAAGGAAAAGAAAAAGTCAAAATTACTATGATAAGTACATCCTAAATCCTAGTCAAGAACACTACAAAAGGACCATGAAAATAAAACTCTAAGACGCTCCATGCATGGAACAAATAACTAAAAATTGTTCTAAGAAAAGCACAATACAGCGATGATGTTTGTTTTGTCTTGCTTCTTTCATCCTAGTTCATCAGATAATTCCTTTCGCATCTAAATATTCTCAGGGCTTCAAAGTGGTAATCTGAAGAATAACAAATCAAATCACATATCCAAACTGCTACAAACTCAAGACTGATAGTTTTATCTTTAGAAGAGAGAATTTTGATTCACAATGCCATTGCCCTGATCGGCTAGTTCAGATCTGTGGCAGAAATATTCCTTCATATTTACTTGGTTTTGAACCACAAGCATGTTGACTTTTTCGTATCAATAATTTCAAATATCTGTCCATATATAAAGTGAAAATTCACTGATAAGGTGCCTCATGGATGTCTGAATGATAGGAAAAGAACTGCTGAGTATTTGATGTAATGCAAACAGATACAATTACAAAGTTATGTATCCAAAAAAGTAGACATCGTTTATCAGAATACAGCCAAAATTGATTTCCAGTAAGGCCATAAAGAATTACAACTACGACCCACCAAATTTTCCTTTTCATAATGTTTTAAAGGCTAGGCTTTTATAGGTCAAATACCACCTAAGTCATCAAAAACTCTTCAACCACCAATAAAAGAGCTATAATGGCACGATTTGATTTCTAACACTTACAGTTCTTAAAGTTTGGTGAATTTCAAACTGTCAAATTTAGGATATGAAAACATAAATCACACAACAGGCTGCTGTCACTTAATGCACAATGCAACTTGGGGCTATGAAAATTTCTTCTTCTTCTTCTTCTTTTTTTTTTTTTTTTTTTCGGTTTCAGTGCTAAGAGAACATTAGAGTAGTTTTGGTTCAAAAGTAACTGATTGGCAGGAACAGAAGTTTTTTTTTTTTTTTTTTTTTTGGGTTTCATGCTAAGAACATTAGAGTAGTTGGTCAAAGAAACTGATTGCAGGAACAGTACTTAATTAAGCAACATAGCAAGCCGTTCTTGAATCGCGAGTTTCAGTTTTGGTTCCTAAGTGAGGTGGAACCCGAACCAAACCGTTCTTAGGCAATTCCAAAGACGGTATTGAAACCACCAGTTTCAGTTCGCTTCTAATTTGGAACCGAAGTTAAACATCTTTTTTTAATTTTCGTTAGTTTTGTAGAATGAATATGTAGCAATAATAAAACAGTAATAAGTAGTAATATTAATAAAAATAATTAATTTTAATAAAAATCTTATACTTTACCTGAAAAAATTATAACAAAAAAAACAAAAATTGACCATTTCACTAATAGTCATCAATTTAACAATTATTTTTTTAACAGCTTCAGAACGAAACTGCCGGTTTTCATTCTAAAAAATAAGCAACCAGAACCAAACCATAGGTATACGGTTTCAGTTGTGGTATGGAACTGAGAACCATCGACCATGATAGTTTCCAGTTTTGACTGCTACGGTTCCAGTTCGCGAATGAATCATGGTCATGTCTACAAGGACTTAATTTGTCAAAGTTGCCCAAGTAATGATTTGTAAACATTAGATTATATAATTTGTTGTTGAAATGGACATCTAGCATGGGAAGCTTTTCAACATAAAGCTTGGCATGATTCAGTGGAACTAATAATAAAGTTAAGAATACAATAATGGACTTAACAGATTGGGAGGTGTTATCTCCATCATATTAAAAAACACAGCATTGCAAATTTCTGAACAAGAAAGTATAAAAATTTTCAAAAATGGAAAAAAAAAACTATAAATTTATAACCATTCATTCTCCTATAATTAAAGTGTTTGCTTGAGTTATGGCTAATCAGAAGTTAGCCCAGTTTCTTTTCTTACAAGAATTTCTGTTTTCACCCTCAGTCCTTCAAAACTTGAACTCCCTAAACCTGGCCTCCCCAAAGATTGTACCTTCTAGGCATCTCAAAGCACAAATAGATTTTATATTCAACCAAATTTCAATATCAAGAAACAAGATCACATACTACATTGCTACATAAACAGGGGACTTTAAACTAATTACATTTCAATAACCAACTAACTCAAGCATAAATAATTTCTCAAAAAATTTCTTATTTGATAGAAACATGACAAAGAACCAAAATATTGAATCTTAACAATCATTTATTTGATTATAAACTCCCAATACAATTAGAGGCACACAAAACTGTCACACAAGAAGTACCTTTTGGAATTGCCCTCCTCTGATCATTCAAATAAACAAAAGTAGCCAATCCAGAAAATACAGCAACTGGCTACAAAATTACAAGAACGAAAAAAATCAACAATAAGCAGCACACAAAAACAAAGAGATCACTGTTACTCTTCAATTTCAAGCGCACGAATCATCATTATCAGCAAAAAAGTATCAAAATTGTTCAAACTATACTCTATTCCACAACTGTAACATTGAAATGAAGAGCAGACACACATTAGACAGAGATAATAAGGAGCTTACGATGACAAGGGCACCCCATGTGCGAGCACCCCAAGAGCGAGAAGCCTGTGTTTCTTCTTCGTGCACTAAAGGCACAATACAACGATCTTGTTTTGCACGATTAGGGCCTGTTGATTTCGCATAGCTACGAGATTGAATGTTCTTACATTGACTGAACCTATAAGAAATTAAAATTAAACTTGACAAACTCACATGTTCCAGCAACACAGAAAATGAATACCCGTATATTAATTGGTGACTGAAAAAACTCCCATCTAGTAAAATCTCAACATAAACTATTAAATAGAAGAAGAAAGGACCAAAAGAAGGGGAATTAAAGGGTTTAAGGGTTTAAGAGTGAACCTCTGGAGCAGATTGAGGGGTTGCCTTGAGCCGTGTTTTGAGGAAAAGAAAAGAAAGCGAGAAAGGAGCATGATTTTCAGGAAAATTTACATGGGTTTATGAGAAATCGTTTTCTGGAGCATAAACCCTCGTCATTTTAATCAAATTGAATTACGGATAAATTTTTGCCTTGACGCCCACGCACCGTTGCTCTTGGTTCCGAAGCTCGCTTTTTTTGGAATAAATTATAAATATGGTCCTTAACTTGCCCAATATAATACACCAATAATTTATTTTTGAGAAAATCATAATTTATCCCTATAAAATATCAAAAGTAATAGATGTATCCTTCCATGTTGAAAATAGAAAAATGTCTTAATATATCCCTAACTTTTATTTCCGTTAAATTATTTAGTATTTCCGTCCTTTTTTTTATTTTTTCATTAAATACTTAAGAAAAAACAAAAAAAAAAATCATCCACTAACAAATAAATAGTTCTTCGTTCTGGTTTATCCTAATTTTTTCTATGATGTGCATTGCACGTGAAGTATACTCGTTATATTTTCATCTTCTGTACCCTTTAAATTTTTTAACCATATACTATAAAAATATAAGTTTTTATTTAAATTAAAATAAATACAATTAATTAATTTGTATTAGTTTGTCATACAAACGACATGTAATGCTACTTCTTATACACTTAATTTTATTTTTATATGATGAAGTGGTCTCAAAATAAAGGTTAACCAAATCCCTAGACCTAATCATTTAGTCCTTAATTTTTAAATGCAGATAGGTGCTCAAAAAGAAAATCAAATCATCACTTAATCCCAACCTTTGCCCTCAACTCTAAATCAATATTTGTATACAAATTAAAGTAATAATAAATTATTTTTTACTACAAGGCAAAAGATGATCTAAATTGATAATGGTAATTATTTTGACTATAGTGATAGAATTACTTACCCAATGCATTAGAAAAAAAAAAAATGAACATACATACAAATTCTTGAAACCGTAAAAGTAACTCAAAATAGAAATATATAGTTATAGTTTTTTTTTTAGTTTCACCAACATTATTTTCTTTCAAATCAAATAAATTTAGGATATAAGAAAAAAAATATCAAAAAAATTAAAAATGTTTAATCATCAAAAGGCCATCTAGAATCTAAAATTACACTGTTAACAAGTTTATTCAGGTATTTTATTCTCTATTATTCTAAATTGTAAATTTAAAATAAATATATAAGTTAATTAATTAATAAAAAAAATTACATAAAAGAAACAATGCTCCAAATAAATCCTTAATTTTTCACACAACTATAAAAAAATATATTTTTTTTTCTTTTTTTTTATCTCTTCTAAATAAAATGTTATGTATATTTTAGTTAAAATTTTATTTTTTAAAAAAATGTATTCAATCAAATCATACTAACATAAAAAAAAAAAAATACTAAGAATGTTTTATTTTAGAAAAAAATTTAAAGAAAATGAAGAGCGAGAGGTCGTGCTCCTCATCACTGCTCTCATGGCTCAATCCTGCTACACTTGTTGGGTTATTAGCCATGTCACCAAGACACACCACGGTCCCCTTAATGTAACCAACTATAAACACAAAATCATATATTTATACTTTCACAATGGTGTTGAAGTTAATGGTGGTGAAGTGAGCTAGTAAGGTGCCTTTAATTATTGATTGTGAAAATTTACATATAATTTCACAATTGAAACCTAAAACTCATTTCAGATGGCTTTTTCTATTAAAAATATATTAAAAAATTAATATATTATTAAGTTTGCAACCTTATATTTATTGGGGAAGAGGATTTCAACCGAATCTATTCCCAAGTTTAGTACAATATATTATTAAAATAATAATTATAGCCAAAAATAATAATAAAAGTTCGTAACGCGTCATAAATTACGGAAGTCACAGCCTCTAAGCCTAGAAAACACTACACTTGAACCCAAAGTCTTACAACTCAAATTAGGAGGTGCCGCACTAACACAGGCACCCACTGCCACAAATTATGACGTAGGTGTTTTGTTTTTGTGCTGTGTTTTGAAGAAGCTTTCTTCTCCTGTATTTATAGGAGAAGAAAGCGTAGGCATGAACTGTGTATAGCTCATGCAAGCTGTGCATGAGCTGTACACAACTCATCTTGCTTTCCTTTTTTTTTTTTTCTTTTGAAGCATGTGTGTGGGTCCCACATATTGGAGGGATCCCACAACAATTCTCTCCCCCCGACTACATGGTGGGACTCTTCATCCCTGCTGCTTTGACACAAAGCTCGAACTTCTCCTTTGGAACGACCTTTATCAATATATCTGCAGCATTTCTATCTGTGTGGATTTTTCACTACTGGAACTGTTTCTCTTCAATGGCAAATCTAAGCCAATGATATCTTACATCAATGAACGACCTTTATCAATATTTATCTCCAGCATTTCTATATATCTGCAGCATTTCTATCTGTGTGGATTTTTCACTACTGGAACTGTTTCTCTTCAATGGCAAATCTAAGCCAATGATATCTTACATCAATGTGCTTTGTCCGTGCATGATACATAGTCCTTTTGCTCAAGTTTAACGCACTTTGATTATCACAATAAACTATATATTCTTCTTGCTGCACACTCAATTCTTGAAAGAATCGCTTTAACCAAAACATTTCCTTTCCTGCTTCCGTAGCTGCAATGTACTCTGTTTCGGTAGTTGATAATGAAAAATATTTTTATAATCTTGATTGCCATGAAATAGCTTCGCCTGAGAATGTAAATAGGTATCCTGATGTAGATTTTCTTTCATCAAAATCACCGGCCATATCTGCATCTGTGTAACCAACAAGTGCAGGCTTTTCACCTCCCTCCAAAGGTAAACATAAACTTTGAAGTTCCTCTGCAGTATCTGAAAATCCACTTCACTGCCTTCCTAATGAGTCTTCTGGATTTGATAGAAACGGCTCGCAATGCCAGAACAACTGCATGAGCGATATCTGGTCTCATACACACCATTGCGTACATCAAACTTCCGACCGCTGAAGAATATGAAACATTTGACATATCTCCTTTTTCTTTCTATGTTGAAGGGTAGGATTTCTTACTCAACTTGAAGTGAGCAGCAAGCGGAGTGCTAACTGGTTTAGCATTCTTCATATTGAACCTCTCTAGAACTCGTTCAATATTTTTTCCTGCGATAACCACAACCTACAGGACTTTCTGTCTCGAATAATCTCCATTCTGAGAATTTGCCTTGTTGATCTCAAATCCTTCATGTCAAATGTTTTTGACAAATCACTCTTTAACTTGCTAATCATGTGTGCATCTTGTAATATCCTCAACTTTGTAGTTCCTGCTATTCTAGCTTTTTCGATGAATTCGGTTCTCCGAATGAAAGGAAAACTTAGAATAATGGGAAACACTATATATTGAGGATGTGAATATTAATTAAATAGTAATTAATGTGATTACAAATCAATTTTGAATATTAATTAAATGTAATTAATGTGATTACAAATCAATTATGAAAGATTAAAGGAAATCAAAAATGAGGTGTTAAAGAGGAATGACTTCTTTGGTAAAGCACGATTTTTACCGAAAAGCCCGAAAACGTAATTTCAGTATGACTTTCTTAAGTGGGGTTTAGAATACAAATACAAACGTGTGGGGATACTTACTAGGACACAAGCGAAGTGATTAAAAAAGATTAGAGTAGCCAAAGGATGAAGGAAACAAAAGGGAGGATTATAGTGCAATTTTCATTTAAAGGACATGAAGGAATTTTTAATAATGTTTATTATATATTTTTAGGAAGAGGTGGAATAACCCCACGCCATTTTCCCACCATTTTACAGCCCAAAGTCGCGTCAAGACAGAGAGGAGGAGAGTTTTGGATTACCAAATCAAGCAAAAAGGAGGTGAAAATCAAGGAATTTTCAAGTAATTCTTAAGAAAAGGTTAGTTGATCTTCACTTCCTCCTTCTGTTTCTTATGGATTTAATTTTTGAATGTCCATGAACTTTGAAGTGAGGTGCGTTGCTTGTTCATTCTGATTGGTGAAGATTGAGTGATTAGACTGAACAAGGTGGCGACTCATACATTCACATGCATTTCTGCCCTTAGTCACATGCATTCACATGCCATTGATGTTTTGGGGAGGGGTTCACACCAAGATGGATGATTTTGAGTTTGTACTTGATATGCCATGACCTAGGGATTTTGATATATCTTATATTATGATGTTATGTAAGTAATAGACGAGTTGAATTGTATGAATTTGTGCTGGAAGTGAGTTGAGAATGCTTAAGCAAACATATCATTGTTGGACCTGTTACAGTTGGGCTGTCTGAACTTCGGCTTCTGTAATTGACCTATTTGACTAAGCAAATGAACTTTAAAATTCATGAAATTTTATATGGAGATAGGCTAAGATGTTGGGTAGGTCGTGTTAAAAAAAAGGGAAAGGCCATTGGCATAAAAGGCAAACGGAGTTATAATTTAAATCAGTTGCAGGCTGCCTCAGCATTGAAGAAAAAAACTGAAATTCCAAGGATTCTATAATTATGTTAAATTTGACAAAGGCAAATGAGCTTTAAAGATTATATAAAAATTTTTTACAGGGCAGTACCCTAAGATGTTGGGAAACATGCTATAAAAATTTCAGGGCCAAATGAATATGAGGAAAGTCAAGATATAGCCAACGGAATTGCAAGCTGCTCATATTTGCTTTTGAAATTCTGGCATTCATTAAACACTTGGAATGAATTTAGCATTGCCATTGGGACTTCTATTGTTTGAATTGCTTCAGTAGTATGTTTCTAGGATGTGGTTTTAAGTGTTAGATTACGAAGTTTCATTGCTGCAAAACTAAGGTTCATATTGGACAACTTGGACGAGCATAGTGAAAATTGAAAGAAAAAGCATGGACACAACATTCTAATGCTTAATTTGCATTTACCTATAGAAAAAGCATAGTGTTTTGATGCCTTAATTACATTCCTATATGTGTAGTATGAAGTTTAATATCAGTATTTAATCTCATGCTACAGCTTCTTGAGAGAAAGGGAGTTGAGGAGGAGGGTGGTTGATAGAGGAAATAGGGCTAGGGGAGCCTTCTAGCTCAGGTTAGTGTACTATTCCTTTCCCTACTTTATAATTTAAACAAAATGTAATTAATTTGCAAAAATATTTTCAATGGATTTTACTTTATTGAATCATAATTTATAAAAAGTATTACTGATTT